ACACACACACACACACACACACACACACACACACACACACACACACACACCCTGTTGGGCCTGTCCATTGACTTCCATTCATTTTTCGGTAATTTTATATCCTAACCCTGACCATTTCCCCTAAAATTAACCTCACAGGTACTGTCCCTAAAACTAACTTAAACTCAATTTACACCTTGGTCCTAAACACAACCCCCACACCCAAAATCAGCCTCTGAAGTTGTGGGGCCCAGGCTTTGGGCCCCACAAGGAGCACCCGGTGGCTGGTTTGGCCGGTGGCGGCCAAACCAGGAGGCTGCATTTTCCTGAAAAATCATCCCCACAAAGTAGCAAAAAAAGTTTTTTTTTTGTTAAATTCCTGAGTTCTGACTTTAATCTCAGGATTCTAAGATTAAAGTCAGAATTCTGACTTTTGCCTAATTCTGAGAAAAAAGTCAGAATTCTGTGGAAAAGTAAAAACCCGGGAAAAAATAAAATACCTTTTTTTGCTATTTAATCGTCTTCCGTACATTTCTGCTGAGGGTTATATTAAAAAAAGTTTAAAAGACTGCATTTGTTTGGCCACTAGTTGGTGCTGTGAACAAACTACAAAAACAAGTGCCAGTCACTAGAAGAAACAAGAGTGACAAACTGCAATTCATTATTGAATGACATTGAAGAAGCTTTCTCAAGCTATATTTACATAGCTTGATAAATGAAACAAAGAAAAAGTACATTTAAATGCTAAGAATCTAAATGTCAAGGGCATGCTGTAACGTTCCTATAACTAAATACTCTGTGATTTGTACAATACCAATCATGGCATTTTGTATTATCAAAAATAGATAATAAGAATGATTAGAAACATGATTAGAAATTAGTATTAGACATGATACATTTAGGAAAGGTTTATAGCCAAGAGAAACAACTTTATAAATAAATACATTGGTAAACCAAAAGGGAAAGATTTATTAGTCCAGGATCTCTAATGCCCTGCTTCAAGCTTAAGTTTTGTTTTTTGGTTGTACTTTATTGTCATCTCATTATTAAAGAAACAATGATGTACCCCACCCATAAATAAATAAATAAATAAATAAATAAATAAATAAATAAATAAACATAAAACGAAGCTTGAAGCAGGGTATGAGAGTCTAAACCTGAAACAATATATCTTTCACTTTTGTTTTTTGTACAGTCAGTGAATACACATTGATTTGAACTTCTTCATAAGCGTTCACACGTTTGCATATATTTGTGTGGGGTGTGACACGCTGTCAAAACAAAACCTAAAGAAAAAAATTATTTGTTTAACATGGAACACACTGTTGTGACTCATTAAACTAACTTCAACTCTGTCCGAAAGAACTGGGCTTGTTTTCGTCAAATTTCTTAGAATCACTTTGTTAAGAATGAACTGAAGTGTAAAACACTCCTTAGCTCTAAGCTRGACTTAAAAGTCATTTATCTCAGTTTCAATTTAAGCGAAGTGTAGGACTTAATCATAAGTGTCAATGCATCACTTTTCAGGTTCAAGAACATTCTCTGAGTAATGTCAGGATAAAACTGTGAAAACCCTAAGATAACATCACAATTAACACAATAGTGTTCATACATGTCACGTTGTACGGATTGTCCGTACACAGATTTTCCATATTTTGCATAAACCCAGACATTTAGAGAAAACCAGGATTTCTTTTTCCAAAAACACAGCTTCAAATTATTTTAAGCCTCAGAGCTTGAGGAAATGTTCTCCTCCCCCTTGTTTCTGCACGCAGACACCCCCACCCCACACATACACACAAACACACACCTTTTCGCTCCACCTGAGACGACGTCACCCCTCACCCCATCGAGTGTGAGAGTAGGCTACTACAGATTTTTTAATGAATGAATGAAAAATTTTAACAGCATCACGTAGCCTGCATTCTCTCACTATCTGACTATAAAAAGAAGGTATATGCTCTCCAACAACTGCAAAGAAATATCCACTTCATGGCCAACATTATGCACACTGGTATGTGTCACAGCAAAAATGTTAATTTAACACCCACAGTGTTCATTTTAACACCAACAAAGTGTCTATATGTGTCCACACTCGCTGGTGTTAAAATAACATTTGTGAAAGTGTTAAATTTTA